CTGCTGCTGCTGCTGCTGCTGCTGCTCCAGGGCCCGTGAACACAGCAACTCACTTGCGGGTTTCCTCCTCGGTCCAGCGCTTTCCCTTGGTTTTCTTATATGCCCCTTCATACGGCTGCAGCAGCAGCAGCAGAAGCAGCAGCAGCAGCAGCAGCAGCAACAGCAATGAGCAGCAGCAAACACACACGGAGAAACACCCTTCCGAAGCGAGCACAGCAGCATCCGCGAGACCCAGCAGCAGCAGCAGCAGCATCATAAGCAACAGCAGCAGCAGCAGCATCATAAGCAACAGCAGCAGCATGAGCATAAGAAACAGCAGCAGCAGCAGCAGCAGCAGCAGCAGCAGGGTACCTGCAGCGCGAATGCTCCTCTTGAGGACAAGTCCTCCTCGAGAACGCGGCGCTGCTGGCCGCTCGCGCAGACGCAGCTCCCCCCCAGCAACCCTGACATGCCGAGACACCTGAAACCACACCCCACAGCAACTTGCCCCAGTACTGTAGCTGCTGCTGCTGCTGCTGCTGCTGCTGCAGCTGCTGCTGCGTTCGTTGATGCTGCTGAAGCTGCACTGTGTGCGGTGCTGCTCCTGCATTTGCTCGTGTTGCTGCTGTTGCTGCTGCTGCTGCTGCTGTTGAGCTGAGTGCTGCTGCTGCTGCTGCTGCTGCTAGACGTGCCTGCAGCAAAATGCCTCTTTGGGCCCATCTGCTACCACCAGGTTCCCGGCAGAGTCGAGGCGCAAAGAACCCACACCTGCAGCGCAGCAGCAGCAGCAGCAGCAGCAGCAGCAACAACAACAGCAGCGGGGATAGTAACACTGGATAATGTCCGCAGACACCGGGGGAAGGAGGAGACAGGCTGTTGCCCAAGCAGCAGCATGTCAGCAGCAGCAGCAGACAGCAGCAGCAGGCAGCAGCAGCAGGCAGCAGCAGCAGAAGCACCAGCTGTCTATACACCTCACCAGCGTCGCCAGTTGGGGCTTCAAAGAGCCCCTGAAGATCCATGCTATCTCCGCTTGCAGCTGAAGGCGCACTCTTGACGTGCTGCTGCAGCTGCTGCAGCTGCTGCTGCTGCTGCTGCTGCTGCTGCTGCTGTGGGGAAGGGGAGAGCAGCAGCGCGAAGGGATCGTCAGCAGGATCCGCGCCGCCCTCTGCTGCCTGCAAGAAAGGAGACAAAACGAGAAGCAGCAAAAGGAGACAGTAAGAGACAAAGGAGACAAAAGGAGACACCATAAAGAAAGGGGAGACACTTAACAAAAAGAGACAACAAAAGGAGACACAATAAAATACCCACAAAAAAGGAGACAGTAAAAAAAAATAAAAGGAGACAGTGAAAGGAGACAATAAAAGGAGACAATAAAAGGAGACAATAAAATGAGACAATAAAAGGAGACAGTAAAAGGAGACAAAAAAGGAGACAGTAAAAGGAGACAATAAAAGGAGACAATAAAAGGAGACAATGCAGAGGGAAACAAGAGGAGACACAATAAAAGGAGACAAAAGGAGACAAGACAAAAGGAGACAAACGCATGCAACCCAGCAGCAGTGCTGCAGTGCGGGCTTAATAGGGA